CAGCCACTTCATTACCCTTAAAAACAATAGCACAATTTGTTGTACTAGTTAGACTTACATGGTTGGGAACATTTTTAATGAGGCAAATGAAGTTTCGTGGTTGATTATTATGGAATTATGCACTTGAGTGAAAATATCATGCTGTGATTATCAAAGGACTTGTCTGTATTAGTACAGATTAGTCTGTGAGTAAGCTGTTCTCCTCTTAATAATGTAATGACTATCTATGATTTGTATGTTTTGTAGACTTTCTGGAACATTTTTAAAATATTGAAAATTGTATTTAATAACAAAAACTTGTTATTAAAATTTTGCTCTTAAATTCTCCAGGCAAAATATATGTTCATGATTATAATGACAGGGAGAGGGTACATAGGACACACCACACAATAAGGCTCTAGAACAGAAGTTCTTAACTTTCCTGTTGCTGTGACCTTTAATACAGTTCTTCATATTTTGGTGACCCACTACCATAAAGTTATTTTGTTGCTACTTGATAACTGTAATTTTGCTTCTGTTATGGAATTTTCATGTACATATCTGTGTTTTCCAATAGTCTTTGGTAACCTCTGTGAAAGGGTTGTTCAATCCCCAAAGGGGCTACAAACCACACAGTTCGAGAACTGCTACTCTAGACTCTGTAGGACTACTAAGACATAGGGATCTAGACAAGAATGAAATGTTTGAACTACTAGGTTCACTTGTAGACAGTAAGGTAAAATCCTCCTATGGAAGATTCTACAAAGCTTGCCAGTAACAACCCAACAATATGGCACTACAATGAAGACAAATTTCTGTGGCAACCTTAAAAAAAAGAAATCATGCAACTTGTCCACTGATTGAGAAGTCAATGCACTGAGCTCTTAAAGAAGAAGGAAAATAATGAGGATATACTTTGCAGCAACAAGAAACATGGTGCTGCTCCAAATACTTGAATGACTGATGTGCAGAGAAAACTATAAAGTGAGAATTGAAGTTCTCATCATAGTTGACAAAGTTACTTTCAGGGCTAGCAGCACTTTGTAAAGGTAACTGTCTGAAATCTGTATAGCATAGTAATTCTTTGTCCCCAGAAGCATTTATCTTTAAACTCTAAGACAAAAATCATGTGTCTGCAATGTTTAAGTTGAAAGATTTTCTTCATATTTTATTCCAAGATCATTTTCACTTTGAATGTACATCTCTAACTTAGAAGAGCTAACATTTTTATAAATGAACAATAGTATTATCCTGTGATTAAATGGTGTATTTTGGTATGAATTTGAGTAGGCCTAAGATCATCAAATGTGAGTTATAAACACACTTTTAATTTTAAGACATAAAGGCAGGCAATCACCACCTCTGTTTATGTAAGTACTGTGCCAGGGAAATAATAACAATTCATACAGGTTTCAGTTCTGGTCTTTATGTTTTTACTCGGATGCTCTTTCTGAGTGGTAGGAGTAAAGAAGGGTAGAATCAAGAGTAGTGAGAAAGGAAAAAGAAAACTTCCCTTCAATAAAATCAAGTCCTGTTTGTAAAAAGAATCTCAAGTATGTAAACCAATCAGAATCTGAGGAGTTAAAATGTGTTAGGAATAGTCTTACCCTTAGGACTTTCTAAAGTGCAATGATTGTTTCTTACAGTGAACAGAGGCTGCTTTCCTATGAAGTCTAGCTCTTATTTTGAAGGGCTACCCTGTGGAGCTGTTTTCTTGAAGACATTTTTAAAACATATATTTTAATTTCAAATAAAGAAGAAAGCTTCAAGAACTAGGATTCAACCAATCTGAGAACAACGATCCCAAAGTAAAATCCTATATTCAGTAATCATTACAATATTTATTGCTTCCAAATATGAAGATATCAAACAGATCTCTCTCTCTCTGTCTTAGACTTTGGTTGTCAAATGTATACTTGAACCAAACACAATGAGTACACATTCAGTTGTTCTTTTTAGTATATGAAAAAATGGAATTTTGTTGCAATGTGTGGTTGCCTTCAATTAATCCAGCTTTCATGGATCATCTGCAATGAATGCTGCTATGACAAAATATTTCTTTCCTTACCAACAAAGAGTTGAGTGGTATGGGATTCTAGTTAATTTTAACTGTGCAAATACTCTTCCTCAAGACTGTCCATGAACAAAGAAGCACTGCATTCTAACTCACTTGAAGATCATAACTAGAATGCCCATTAACTTTGAATTCATTTCATGTTAATCCTTTTTTATAGTTCTATATTTCATACATACTTTCAGTTTTAGGAGAAGATATTCAAATATTTCTGGATGCATACTCCTAATGAGGTAAAGCAAGACAAAAATAAATAATGGAGAACTGTTAAACAATTTTTTTTTTTTTTACAGAAATGACAGCAGTCTGGACAGTGAGCCCAATTAGTTGGCCACTACACTGTGGTCCTGGCTGAAGGCCAACATGAAAGGAAAACTGACTTTAAAAAGAAAGAAGAAAAAAGGACTAAAGGAAATGCCATAAAAGGATGCTATATTCTGAGAACAGACCTGAGATCACAGAGATTTGACATTAGAAAATAATAACGAAGAGAGCCAGAGTGATAAATTCTGTTCTTAGATAGCAAGGCCACAGGGACTGGCAAGACTACAGGATGTACCAGTTTAGTCATGGAATAAAGGAGCCATTGTGGATAGAGTCCTGGAGATCGAACACAGAACCATTTTTCCCCATGGGGGCAAAATGAAATGAAATGAAAGCATGACAAGGAAATACAAAATTAGATAGCAATTGAGCCAAGCCTGTTGTGGTGATAAAGAAATGAAGAGGCTGTGTTTTATACTGACATTGTATTTTCTTCATAATGACAACTTTAAAAAAGAACAAGCTATAGATTTACAGAGATGGAAAGAAATGAATATGTTTAAAAGACAAGTATGTCAATACAACTAAGGTCCCAAACCAACATAAGCAAAGATAAGAAATCCACAGTAGACCAGTAGACCAGTAGACCAGTAGACCAGCTGGGTCTTGAAGTCTGGGGACATTACCAGAGAGGATAGCAGAAATAAAAAGGATTGGGTAATGTATCATTGTTGGGAAGGGACTGTTGTAGTTGAGTTTCCCTCTCTCTCTCTCTTTTTTTTTTTGGAAGAAATGAGTAATTTCTAGACTCACTGATGACATTACTTAAGAATCCTTTACTAAGAAATACTTAAGAGTCCCACATAGGTCACTTATTATTACGGGCTTTCTCAAAGAATGCAAGAGAAGCATCTCCTGAGTTTTCTTTTCCTTAAGTACATACAAAAGAAAAGGACAGAGCCACCTGCCTATGTGCTTAAAAAGAGCTAAGGGCTGTACTGAACACCTACTCTGTGACTGATAGTGATGTACGACTTTGAAGTTGCATGCAAATGTATTTTGAAAATGCATCTGAAACCTGTGTTTGCATAAATATGTGATGAAATCAAAGCACTTTCATTTAGGTAAGTCTTACTTCTACACTTACTACAAATGAATATTTATAATGTAGTTTAGGAAACCACACTAATTCTGAATTGTGCAATCTATGTAATTCCTGAGACATGAATCAGGGGTCTTAAAACCTAAAATGACAATATCTTTTAGAGCAATTAAACAAGCATGCCTCTTTGTAAAGCAGAACAACCTTGCTCAGGAAAAAGGATGGTCATTCTCTGGTTGAATCCCACAAAGAACTATATTTTGAAACTATTGATATTAGAAGTCCTGTCATTTCTTTGAGGGATTTGTCATTTCTGTGAGTAATTTGCTGAAGTTGTAAAACAACTTTACAATTAGAACCCATGGTAGGAAACTGGTTAGGCACTAATTATACCCTGGATTCTTACTGCACTCCTGGTTACACTTTTAAAGGATTCTCAGGTAATATTATGTTTATTGCTGCACCCTGTTCACAACAGTCATGATATCAGAATCAGCCTAGATGACCATGATGGATGAATATAAAAAATGGGGTATATACACACAATAGAATTGTATTCAGCTTTCGAGAATGCAATGAGGACATCTGCAGAAAATGGATGGAACAAGTGGTCAATATGCTAAGTGAAATAAGCCAAATCTAGAAAGACAAAAATTCTGTTTTCTCTCATGCTGAATAAAGATTTATTTCTGAATCTGCGCATGTATGTAAGTGTGTGTTTGTGAGACATCGAAGTAAAAAGATGACTCTGGAGGAAAAGAACTTAAGGGAAGAGAAGAGAGGGCAATGGAATAACTGTGGCCTGGAAGCAAAAGGACTATCTGTCAGGAAGAAACCAGGTAGAGTAGGACTTGGGGGACAGGTGGAGGCAGGGGGACAGATGAGCAGGAACTAAAGTATAATGATAAACATGTATGAAAGGGTGATAAAGAAACCTACCTCTTTATAATGACCAACTTCTCTAGAGATAAAAATTGTTATATCCTCTTTGTTGGGGGAGTAGGAGGATTTAGAAAGAGCATTTAAAAGTACCATTTCAGATTGCAAGGACATCACTCAGTGGGTTATGTGTTAAGACATACTTGGTGCAATTAAGGATGCTAATTAAATAAAAAATGTAAATTTACTAAGTTTGAACAAGAAAATGAAAGCTATCATGTTACTAAAAGCTGAGTCTCAAAAGGATACTGAAAACAAACCAGCAAGTAAATTGAAAATTAACCTCAATGGTTTAGCACCATAATGTGCTTCAATATGTTCTTAATAACAAATATATATTGCCATGTACATAGTATCTATATATACCATAAGATTAAGCCAAACTATTCTCATTATATTGAGCAGATGGATAGAGAAATGTATTTCAGAAAGTTTCTGACCACAACAATGGTAAAATGTTTTAACCAGCAGGCAGAAAAAGTTAGGGATTCAATAATTCTTAGACCTTCAGTGTTCAGTGTGAGCTTCTCACCTATTTTTAATTTATCTTCTCATCACACGATGTGGCAGTATATAAGCCATTTTAATTTCCTTCTACATGGTACACATTTATGAACGCTGACTTTTTGGCATCCTTTAAAGTCAAAATGCCAAAACCTTTAATTTTTATTTACACAAGACAATACTAAGCATTCTGAACCATTCAATATTAAATTACATTCAATACAACTTTGGTAAAATGTATTTTGTGTTTTAATTTTCTGGGAACTGTCTACGTATAGACAGCATACATATACAGTCATTGTTCAATAGAAGGAATATTTTATTATGCTGATATAAACACTTTTTTACTAATTCTACTAGTCATCATTTTAGATCACTCATGCAAATATTACTTTTAGAAATGATTAGAAAACCATGGGTCCCTATATTTGTTGAACTGAATAACTTGGCAGTAAAATTCAGTTAAGGCTCTTGGCATTGGTGACACCTCTTCCCACTCTGACCTGCTGCTGTGGTAAACCTGTACTTCATCTGTGATCTCATCAGGTGCATAATCTCCACCTAATATGTAAATCTTATCCTCAATCCCAACTGCACCAGCATTAAAGCCTGCGCATTCAAAAGAGCCTTCTCCTTTCCATACACAAGTATCAGGACAGAAACTATACACCTTATAGGTGGAAAGATCACATATATACAGGGTACAATTTACTGGGACAGCTTTAATTAGAGTAGCATGAAAGAATTGCCCAAATTCTGCTACCAGTTCAGACCACTGGTCAGTTGTAGCATTGTACTTAAAGAAACAATCAAGTGATGGGTTAAAAGCATCTGCAATCTCTACCTCGGATCCAAGAACATAAATGACATTCTGGCATGCAGTGGCTTCTGGGTAATAGATGCCTCTGGGTAAAGGGCTAACTGATGTCCACTCTTTGGATAGTGGATCATAAGATTCAACATCTAAGAGACTTTTAATGTCCTGGGATCCTCTAGTCTTTCCACCTATAACAAATAATCTATTGAGAGCCATGACTGAAGTATGCATGGTCCTAGGAGTTTTCATGGTCGAAACCAAGAAAAACTCATTTTTGACTGGACAGTAGCACCAGGTCTGGTCAGTGGCATCATGGTAAGACTCAGCAATATGAAGTCGAACCTTTCTACAGCACTTCCCTTTACAACCACCTGTCAAGAATATTTTCTCTCCATAGCTAGACAGACTAGATCCTGGCAAATCAATAAGATGTGACTGTGGCAGTATTTTCCATGAGTCAGTTTTAATATTATAGCAAAATGTATATTGGTTTTCTCCATTTTCCTCAGTTTTATGGATGAATATATATTTTTCAGTTGTGGATGGTCGAGCATCAGGGAAGAGGCCACTAGAACATTGTACACACTTAATGGCATCCACGATTATGTCAAAACAGTTTGTGCTTTTGAGTAAACACTCCTCATTGAGCAGATAGTCTTGAAGTGTGTCCTCAGATAAATGATGTAACCTTACTTTTGTAATCAAGTGAGGCAGATGCTTTTGCCTGGACTCTAAGTTGTATTTAATCCATGTGATGACCACTTTCAGGACAATTTCTTCTTCAGGCACATTTAACTCATCTGACTCCAGGCACTTTTCCAACACTCCAAAATTCATCTCTAAAAACTCCCTGGATTTAAATAACAAATGAAAGTGATGCTGTACAAAGCATAAAGCATGATTAAACAAATGGGTAGAGCCATAGCTGTCTGACAGAGATAACAAGTGCAAACAATTGACAAGACTGATGCTTTTTATTAAGAAGTCACTGCAAGCTTTGGACAAGAAGGGGACCTGAAGAAAGGATGACAACTGGAAAAACATTTCCACATTATCATCTGTTATTCTTGCTTCTCCGGTGTAAGCATAGTCAAGAAATGCCTTTACTGCTTTGGAGGACAAGTTAGTGATGGTAACACTTCCATCATCTCTTTCTTTCATGTTTACTTCAAACATCGCCCTGAAAAAAATAAAGAACAAAAAGGCACAAGTAACGGAAGTACTTCATTCTACCATTACTCTCAATATCACCACACAGATGTTTCTTTACCCTTTAGTTCATTTAAAATAAGTTTAAGAAATCACAAATATTGGCATCCTAATGAACTATTTTAATACTTAAAATAATAATAATAATATGCCATAATTCTTATTTGCTGACATATTATGTAACCTTCATATTAAAAATTTATACAATGTAGTTTGAAGTACAGTGAAAAAGAAACAAAACAAACAAACAAAAAAGGCTATAAAGTGGTTCAAATCTTATACGTAGTTTTTCTATATAACTCAGTTTCCTTTAATGGCAAATTAACTAAAGCTGTGATAATAACTAAAATTTCTCAGCATACAGCATACAACACCCAAGGTTTTAGGCTTCAAAAATTTACATCAAACACAAAACACAATAAGAGGACTCCTGCAACCAATGATTTTGTATGGCTCTGTGGGGAAATTTATGAAATCAGATTCATTCCATAAAAGAGACAAGGGAATGTAATATCCCAAAACTAAGCCACACAAAGTTTCCCCAAAAAGGCAAACCTATGTTTTTGTGGTAACAACTACTGAGAGTTAGACTATTCCCAGAAATCTGAATGATCAGGACAGCTTGGAAATTGAAACTAAGAGAGTGGGACTATCTTGAACTCAGGAGAAAGAATAACACAGATTATTTGGAGATGTCTGGTCATTGAATAAAATGTACTTTACTGTTTATCCTAGTTTCACAACAACCTGCATCTGTGTTGGTATTATCAAAACTACTGTGGTTGTTTGAATGAGAATGACTCCATAGGCTTACATGTTTGAATACATGGTACCCAGTTGGTGGAAAAATCTGAGAAGGGTTAGAAGGGGTGGCCCTGTGGAGGAGGTGTGTCAGTTTGGAAGATCTGAGGCTTCAAAGGAGTAGTGCCATTATCAGTGTGTTCTCTGCCTCTTGCTTGTGGACTAAGATGTGATACCTCAGCTGTTCTTGCCACCATAACTTTGCTCTGCCATCATGGGGCTTCAACTTTCTGATACTCTAAGTCCAATTAAACCCTTTCCCTTATAAGTTGTTTGGTTACAGTGTCTCAACACAGCAATAGAAAAGCAACCAAGACAAATATTTTGTGTGCTATACATGTGATATATATATCACATGTATATATATAATCTACTTGTACTTGGTGGGGTTGGGGTTGGCTTTCTGCTTAGAGTCTGTCCCAGGGAGTAAATAAATCTATTAGTGATCTAACTGAAGAATATGATGGACTTTTTTCAAATAAATAAGGAAAAGAATGATAGAGACTTTTTATAAGGCTACTCAATAATTCTTAATACAAAGCCATGTAAAAGCAATAACAAAAACTGTAAGTCAGGCGTTGGTGGTGCAGCACTTGGGAGGCAGAGGCAGGCAAATCTCTGTGAGTTTGAAGCCAACCTGGTCTAAACAACGAGTTCCAGGACAGGCTCCAAAAGCAATACAGAGAAACCCTGTCTCAAATATATATGTATAGTGATAGAGACAGCTATTTTAGTGAGGACACAGTTTCTTCACTTTTTTTGGCTATGTGACCAGCAGGAAGTTTTGTTAAAAATGAATATGAAAGGTATTCTATTACTGTCTACTATTTTCCTGTATCATACATGAATAGGAGAAAAAAAATCATGGCTAATGAATCTGAAAAAATGAATTCAAATATTAATTTGCATTGTAATGGGGAGTTCTAAAGGGATATAGTATTTTAACTAAAGGATTATATTTATATTAATATGATCATATAAAGGATTATATTTACTATGCTACAAAATAACCCAGGTTACACACTAAAGAAAATCATGGCACTATCAACAAAATTACTTGCAAAATAAAGAGATTAAATGAGTTGTTTAGAAGATTAAATGACTTAATCATTGCAGTATTAACTGTTACTATGGGGAGAAGGGGAGTGGGGAGGAGAACACCAGGAAACAGGCTGGTTGAGATAGGGGAAGAACAGACAGGAAGAGCAAGGAAAGAGATATCTTGACTGAGGGAAACATTACGGGGCTCAAGAGAAACCTGACACTAAGAAAATTCTCAGCAATCCACAAGGATGACCACAGCTAATGCCCTAAGCATCAATGGAGAGGATACCTAACTGGTATTCCCTTGTGATCAGACTGATGACTACCTGAATTACCATCACAGAACCTTCATCCAGCAACTGATGGAGGCAGATGCAGAGATCCACAGCTAAGCACTGGGCTGAACTCCCAGAGTCCAGTTGAAGAGAGGAAGGAGCAAACTGGTGTCAAGACCAGTTTAGGGAAATCCACAGAAACAGCTGACCGGACCCAATGGGAGTTTACTGGCTGGGGACCGACAGTGGGGGAACCTGCATAGGACCCAACTAGGCCCTCTGAATGTGGATGACAGTAGTGTGGCTTAGGCAGGCGGTGGGTCCCACTGGCAGTGGGACCAGGATTTAGAGCTTGAACTGGCTTTTTGGAGCCCATTCTCTTTGGAGGGATGGATATCTTGCTCAGCCTAGATATAGGAATGAGGGGCTTTGTCCTGCCTCTAAGTAAGGCGCCAGTCTTTGTTGATGCTCCATGTTGATGCTTTACCTTCTCTGAGGAGTAGATGGGGCTGGGATGAGGGGAAGAGGAATAGCAGGAGGAGAGTAGGGAGTGGGAACTGGGATTGGTAGGTAAAATGAGAAAAGGTAGTTTGTAAAATAAAAAGTGATTTAAAAATACAGAAAGAAAAGAATCAAACATTTCCTAATAGTCTACCTCTCCCCACATCTCTGTCTGTATGTCTGCCTGCCTACCTAGCTATTAAGGTTTTATTTATTTTATGTGTATGGGTGGCTTGTCTACATGTATGTATGTGCACAAGTATGTGCCTGATGCCTGTGAAAGACAGAAGAGGGGATCAGATCCTCTGGAACTGGAGTCACAGATGGTTAGGAGCTACCATATGGGATACTGGGAATTGAACCTGGTTCCTCTAGAAGAACAGCTGGTGCTCTTAACCAATGAGCTATTTCTCCAGTCCCAACATTCTATGTATTTTTAACTTGATACCAGCTTCTATACCCTTGTAAAAAGACACGTATAAGGCCAAATTCTTAACACTTCATCCTACTTTCTACGAAGTTGACATTTATGTCAGATTTGTCATGTCTAAGTAGTTTCCTGTAAGACATGTGATTCCTTTTCAGTTCCTTGATTTTACAACTTAATCATAATTTTTGCTATGTATTGCATACTTTTCTGACATTGTTATTGTACACTATTCTTGCAATGTAGTTAATTTTATTGAACTACAAATATTATGCAATAGTGGCTTATCTTAAGAGTATAAATGTTTAAATTTCTCGCCACATTTGTACATATTTTCATGTGAGCTATGAATTCATTTAAAAAAATTAAACGGAGAACTGGTCATTGCAGTTTAAAGCAGGCTAAAATTAAAAAAAAAAACTATTATCCTATTCTAATAGCAATTTTAAACATAAAAATCAGACTCAGAAAGCTAGAAGAGGATGTGAGGTTCTGCTGTCTGCTAAAATTATTTAACTTTATAACTGACAACTGCCCATCTGCACAGCATTAAATCATTTGAGGAAAAGAAAAAGCTAGGAGTATGCTGAACAAAATACTATGTGTTAGAGCATTTAAATGCCCAATCCAGTAGTCACTCAAAGCAGTTCTTGTTAAATATACAAAATGGTCAAAAAAAAGTCAGCACTGAGAAGGGACAGGTAGGGGAAGAAGGGACATTGATATAGGTAGGGGTAGATAAGGAGGGAATAGACAGTAAGCATAATACATTATACACATGTAAATAACAGTTAATCAACCTACTAAGACACTAAGTTAAAAATACGTTTGATAAGAGCATATGCTTGCAAATTCAAATGCTTACATGAACTTCGTGTTGTACTAGCTTGAAAACACTGCAGTGAAATCAACTGTATGTTCAGAACAGGATTTATCTGTGTGTTTCAACATTAGAAAACAAGGACTTTATTGACTAACATTAGCTGAACATAAAATACAATATGCTAACCATTTGTACATTATGAATTAATTCCTATGTTTATTTTTCTAATTTCTTTGTCAGTAGTGTGTAGACCTAGGTCTGGAGAAGGTAAGTGATTTACCTAAGGTCACATGACTAGTAAGCAGTTGACCTAGGATTTAGATTAGGGCATATATACTAAGGAACTAAGTATTTAACAATTAGCAAGACAGATGTCTGTAAAGAAAAGGCCACTTTATAAGGACAAGAGATGCAAAAAAAGTTACTGGAAGGAAAACTGTGTTCAAAAGGAGGAGGGAAGACAAAGGTGGCTTGGGAGTAGCAGAGTCTAACACCAGGGCCCCAAAGGAGTTCAAAGAATGACTAAGAGTATATGAAGAAACAAAAAGCAGAGAAGGAAAGTTATAGTTAAGTAAGCAATCAGCTAATTCAAAACTGTTGGAGCCTCCCTGGCCAAGGACATTGTGCAGTACTGAGCTTCAAATTCAAAGCAAAACCCCACAAAAAACAGATATTCAGTAAGGAGCAGATAGCAAGAACTGCTTGCAAAATAAAGTCTAGCTTATATAATTTTTTTTTTTAGACAGGGTTTCTCTGTATAACAGACTGGCTGTCTTGGACCTGGAACTTGCTTTGTAGACCAGGCTGTGTTCCAACCTATAGAGATTCCAGATCCATCCACCTTTCCCTCCCAGGTGATTGGATTAAAGGTATGGACCACCACTGCCATATTTATAAAAAGCAGATTTTGAATTAATGATTAAAACAGAACAGCACAAGGCCCTTGGTTTAGCTCCCAATTAAAAAAAAATGTAAATGCAATATAATTTCCATTTTGCTTCATATATTAGATATTACATTGTTTTTAGCAAACTTGTTGAGAGATTAAAGCCCTAGTTAAATTTTATTTCAAAACTGGACATAATGCAGAGTACTGAAGCGAGAATTTGAGTTTACTGCAGTATAACTAGGAGGACTGACTGCATAGTGCCAGCAAGAAACCTGTTCTCTACTGTCCTGGAGACAATTGCCACAGTACTATGAAAATACATCAGACCTTTACCTTATATAACAAAGGCACACAATCATCGTGGCAATTCCCCTTCCTCAGCCTCCTGAATGCTGAGATTATAGGCAAGATCCACCACATGGGAGATGCCATCCTTCTGGAGAAATTTTAAGTCCTCTGAGCTGCAGTTCCTTCCCTGGGATATGGCATGGACACAACTACATTATTTTCTTCTTGATCGTTTTCTTTAAAATCAGTTTCTATTTTTGCCCAGCTTATCATTTCAAACAAAGCTGACCCTATATGAACTCCACCCCCACCCAGAATAGCTCAAGAAACTAATTTTAAAGAACTTTGCGAATGGTATCCTAGGAAGACTCTTATTTTACAGCTGTAGCATAAGATTCCCTGTTCAAATACTACTAATAAACTAGTTGTTTTTTTAATTAAGAATTAAAAATTACTATAGCATGTTTAGAGGGCAGTGTGTACAGCTATACAATACAATATAATTTCAACATGTAAAGTCTAAAGCACAGATGGGGGGCGGTACCTGAAAAAGTCACTGCATGCCGCCAACACACAACGATGACATGGGATTATTTCTTCTTTCATGATTATTTTGAAATCATAAAAGACATTCTGTTCTCTAAAACTCTGTAGTACACTTAAAATTTTCTGTCCGTGATCATCTGATGCAAAGAAATTCTTTTTCTTCCCAGATGAGATTCCATTCCATGAGCCTTGTTCATTGAAATCGCATGGATTATCCATAGCCAATTTCACCTGTTCTTAGAACTGGAATAAAACAAAACAAAACAAAATTAATGTTGTAGGAAGGTAAAGAAATTTTCAGATTGAATTTTCCCTCTTCAGGCTGGCAAGATAGCTTATCAGATAAAAAGCTCTTGCCTTGAAAGCCTGCTGACCTATGTTAGATGCACAGATCCCAAATAAAGTTGGAAGAGAACCTGTTCCTTAAAAGCATCTTCTGACATCGACATGCTTGTCACACACACACAATAATAAATAAAATGATTTTTTAAAAATGTACTCATGGTGTGAAATTACAATACTCAATAGCAGCAATAGTATGATAGTAAACCTTACTTTAAACATTTGTTTTTATGCAATTTAATAATAAATTCTTTTTGAATTTTTTTATTTGAATTGAGAAATATGTAATAGCGGCCGGATATTTATGGCTATAGTATTGACTATAGAGGTTTTATGAATATCTATCTTCTTTAGTCCTTCACTATATGTCTTATCTTATTGTTATGAAACAAGTATTATTCCTGAAGTAGTTCTCCTTTTAGTATGTATTCTATACACCTGTTCATCTATGCATAACCTCTTGTGGCAAAATCAGGATTAAAATGTTGATGCTGACATACCAACTTTATATCTTCTAACTCTAGCCCTAACCCTTACCTTCACAAGAGAACTGATTTAATAAAAAAAGACACCAGAGTTTGGTGGTATTAACTGATTTATGATTGTCGTGGTTTGACTGAAAATGGCCACACAGGCTCATAGGGCACAGCACTATTAAGAGGTGTGGCCTTGTTGGAGACAGTATGGATTTGTTGGAAAAGTGTGTCACTGGGGGGTTCAAGCCACGCCCAGTGTCATTTTCTCTTCCTGCTGCCTAGCCATTTGTTTGTAGAATTTCTGGTTCTTTTCCCAGAACAATGACTGCCTGATTCCTGCCATGATAAAGTAGACTAAGACTCCCCAGCCCCAATTAGAGAGAGAGAGAGAGAGAGAGAGAGAGAGAGAGAGCATAAAAGAGGGAGCCATTATAGGATTGAAGAGAAAACTGACTCTAGAGAAATGTCCAGAGGCCTCAACTAACAATTTGAGCAACAATGGAAAGGCTTCCTACCATATATGCCCTTCCTTGATAATGAGATTCATGACTAACTTATCTGCCATCATAGAGCTCTCATCTGATAACTGATAGAAACAGAAGCAGATACCCACAGCTAAACACTGAGCCAAATTTGGAATCTAGATAAAGAGAGGGAGGACAAGACCAGGCTACAGAAACCAACAGAGACAGCTGACCTGAACAAGGGGGAGCTAATGGACTCCCAGACTGATAGCTGGAAAACCAGCATTGGACCAACTCAGACCCCCTTAACATGGGTCTCAGTTAGAAGATCTGGGCAGTCTTAAGTGGCCTCTGACAGTGGAACCAGGATGTATCCCTGGTGCACAAAAGGACTTTGGGAGCACATTCCCCATGGGGGGTTACTCCCTTAACCTAGAGCAGGAGGGAGGGCCTGGTCTCTACTCCAAATGACTTGATAGACTTTGTTGATCCCTCCAGGAAGGCATCTCCCTCCCCGTGGAGTATGTGTGGGGGTGATGGGATGGGAGGGTGTTCGGGGACATGGGAGGGAGGGAGGCAGAGGGAACTGGGATTGATATGTAAAATAAGAAATATAAATTTAAAAAGATAATTTGTTAATTAAAAAAAATACATGTTTTCTTTATAAGAATTGCTGTGGTCATGGTGCCTCTTAAGGGAAATAGAAATCCTCACTAACACAATAGCCATTACAAAAAAAAGCATTGGTGCCAGGTGACCTAGCTGAAAGCATAAAGAAAAACAATAGCAGTAATATTGTCAAAAGGTCTTCTAAATACAAGGTAAAGAATACAAAACAGCAGGGGGCCAGATAATCATTAACTTCCCAAATAAAGTCAGCTCCCAACACAAAAAGTTAGGAAACACCAAATTAAGGTTAATACCAAAAGATAAGGGAATAAACAGGAAGACTCAAAATTAGAGAAATCAGAGAAATAAAGAAAACGATTCCCTAGTGATAGACCAAAAATTAAAATTAATAAAAGTTTAAAAACTTGGCCCCTAAATTTATACAGAGAAAGGGAATTTCTAATGGTAAAGGAAATTTTAACTCCTTAAATTAGGAGTGCCATGGCTGTGGTGCCAGAGCACCCTGTCAGAGAAGGGGAGGTGACTGTCCACCACTTATGTCAACATTCCTATGTCTGTGAATTGCTAGTCATAAAGGTCTCAGCCCAGGGGATAACTGACAGACCCCATGACCCTGTAACTGTGCAACCCCATGACCCTGTAACTGTGCAACCCCATGCCCTGTCTTATCTTTCTCGAATGTATCTTGCTCAAAAAAAGTTACTACTTTACTCTGTACTTTGTTTCACCTTAAGTAACCATGGAAACAGTGGAATTTGTGGCATTCAACCTTATGGTCTTCCTCTTTAAAATCTTCTCTTTATGGCTGGTTGGCATCTCATCCCCCCCCCCCCCTGCCATGGGGTGAGATCCAAGCTGGGCAGCTTGAATAATAAAGAGAAAACTTTGCATTTGCATTGGAATTGTCTGGCTCCTTGGGTTGGTCTGGGGCTCTGTGAACCTGGCACAGCACCTAGTACCTCTCTTTTGCAGTTATTCATTGCCTTATAAAATCCCCTGCCTCCTAGGGGCTTAGGACAATTTAGTTCTCTCAGGATACTGTGGGTTTAACAGGAGCTTCTTGCTTGGGGCTTTCAGAGAACTGTAGATATTCAGATTACAGACAGCTGTGGCTGGATCCTCTGAAGTCTGACATCTTCAATACAGCATTTTTAAGGACAGGTAAAAATAAGAATCACTGGGGAATTAGAGGTGGGATGTAGAGCATTACAATGGGTTTAAAAGAAAAGGGAATGGTTTGAATAACTTTCTCTTTTTATGTTGATGGTGGTCATGGTGGTTTTGTGTGTGTGTGGTGTGTGTGTGTGTGTGTGTGTACATGTGTGCGCACACACCGTGCTCACACTCCAGCAACCATGTTCCAGGGTAGGATAGACTCAGGTATCTGTCTCCTGACTTCCACTTATTTTGAGATGAGTTTCTTGCTATTTGGTATTATGTATATCAGGATAGCTGGTCCTTAAGCTTCGCTTCGGGGGATTGTCACTGTCCTATTTCTGTCTCTTATCTCTCTCTCTCTCTCTCTCTCTCTCTCTCTCTTTTTAAATTAGGAGCACTAGGATTATAGGGCCATTTCACATGACATAACTCAATTCCTCATGCTTGCATGACAAGTGCTTTACCCACTAAACCATCTCTTTGGTCCTTCAATTATTCTTTTAAGAAATTCAACAAGGTTAGGCTTAGAAGAATAAGTACGCACTTAAAAATTCTGATTTTTTTGTTGTTGTTGTTTTTTGTTTTGATGGGAGAAACATGGAATATGTTAGTTCACAAAGAAAAGAGGAGAGGTGTGAAGAGAACTTTTGACAATAACAATTTAAATTCAGCGTATATATGTGTACATACATACATACACATATTCATACCTCAAAGTAAAAACTTTGGACCCTTATACAATAGATTGGACAACAAAATTATATATAAAAATTACACTTCTGTTAAGCAGTCGGTAAACATTGGCAGACAAACAAATGGTTAGAACTTCTATAGTTGCTCAGTGATACAACTCTAAGAGTACCAGGAGTTGGACAGACTCCCTTGGAGACAGACAGATTGAGAATTTCCAAGTTGTCTCCTTCCTAACCTTCCTGATTTGAGACAAAAGTCTGGCAGCCTAAAACAAATACCTTGCCTGCTTTTGTCTCCCATCAGCAGGGCCCTGCTGATGGACTGTCTCAACGAGTTCAGACAGGTTACACAACACTTGTGGACCAACCAACCATCCCATCAGTACTCAAAGTGGCCACTCTTAAATTAGAAGAAAACTCTTCAGAAAAAGCCTCTTGAGAAGAGGCTGGGATTTTGGCTTGGCAGTGGGCCTTTTTCTCTGCGTGTCTGCTGCATGTATGTGCAAGGATTCAGGCATTATGCCAGCCTGGCCCTGACACCTGGCAGAGTGCTCTCAGGCAGTACCCTGGTCAGCCTAGGGTTCCATGACTACTAGTCTGCACCCAGGTGCAAAGGACCCCTTTAAAAGGAAGATCCGGTTCACTTACGCTCTCGTTCCTGCTGTTTCCCTGGGGCAGACAGGACTTTTGCTGTCTCCCTCTTCTTTTCTGTTCCCTCTGTTTCTCTGTGTCTCTTTACCTCTTTTCTCTTTCTAACCCCGCGCCCCTTCCCTTTCTAATAAAATTTCCCACTAAGCTCTGTCTGCCTGCTTGGTTTGCCCGCACCTCCATAACCCTTGTCTGCCATGGGATCCTCCAAGGTTTCTCTCGAGATTTATTCCTAACTTGTGCTTTGTCACCCCAGTAAATGTCTTTCTTCAACTGCTGGTGATTCGGCCCGCTCCTGTTTGCCATTGGTCAGATTTCTCAGCTGCTACCTGTTGCCCTTGAGGTTTTCCCTGATTTATTCTTTAATCCTAGTCGGTATCATTAGGATTTTGGAAAATCTCCCTGGTTCCCATTTAGCCGTGGAAATCTTTCCCCTGTCCCTTCATCTTGCTTTCCTGGGAGAAAGCCTTACAGTCTGAAATAAACTTTTCCTTTCCCCCCACGAAGCACTACTTTGTTGTTGTTTTTCTGCACCCAGCTCATTCAGTATAGAAACCTGTTCACTTGAAGGCCGTGCTTTCTAGAGAATTCTTCCCCAAGCTTAGAGAGTAGTTTTAAAGCTGGGCGGTGGTGACTCACTCCTTCAATCCCAGCACTTGGGAGGAAGAGACAAGTGGATCTCTAAGTTGAAGGCCAGCTTGGTTTATTGAGCAAGTTACAGAACAGCCAAAGCTACACAGTGAAGCCCCTGTCTAAAAACAAAACACACACACACACACACACACACACACACGCACACACACACACACACACACAGCAGTTTTACTTAAAGA